AAAAGGAATATTGGTAGATATCATTTAATCTCTGACTGCACTAAAGGAACCCCAGAATCTCTCTCTATTTGCACTCTCTCTTCAAACAACAAAGAGCAAGGGAGAGGAAAAAGTAAAGTCCTTTAGATAAGAAAGAGCAACTTCTCACCCAAGTGACTTCGGAAGTGTTTAACAAACTCAATCCCTTCTTCTATTTTCTTCCAGAATTTTACATGTCCATCATGACTGGCTGTTATGATAAAATCTGTCCTACAATTAGAAAAGAAAAATAAAATAAAGAAAACAAATGCACACACTATGCACCTTCCCACTGGTCAGTAATTTTCACTAGAATTAATACTGTGCAGAGAATGAAATCTCAATAAATTACTGTGACTGTCTGTCTGAATGGGTACTATTCAGATAGACTGTCACAGTAATTTATTGAGTACTCCTGGAAAAACAAAACAGGTATTTTAGTGCATTCTGGATTAATCTATGAGAAGTCAAACTGAAGCAAAATATAACACTATCCTTTTTGAATATGTAAATATAACTCCTATTTTAAGTCTGGTTTCATGGTAGTTACAATGTATGTGTGTGTGTGTGTGTGATCTCTGCAATTCTGGCAAACAGTATTTTTTCAGAGGGAGTAAGTTATTACTTACTCCTGTATTTCCTGCATATTTTAACAAGGATTTGTTAAGACCCTCCTTTAGCCTATAAAAAAAATTATATCTTGCTTCTAGGTAAGCAAGATATAACTTATTTTTTTAAAAAAACCTACCATCCTTTAAAAAATCACCTCAGGACACTGTAACTTTCTGTTATAAAGCTTCTACAGTGAAAACTTTTTAGCCTCCACAAAAATACACCCCAGACAAAGAAATACAATGGAGAACAAAAATACTTACTTTGTACATGCCACGTGTGTAATAACATCTCTGTGCATGTAACTGCGTTCATACATTGAAGCCGACGGAAGATTTTCAAGATAAACGTGTTCGAATTCAAGAACTACACAGAATGGAAAGAAAAGTCAGGATTTTTTTTCACTAAGTTACATCTACATTTCATTCTCTTTTACTTATCCTTTTATTGGTTACTCATGTTTAGTCTACATTTTGTTCTCTTTTACTTATCCTTTGATTGCTTACTCATGTTTAGTCAAAAACATGCAGGATTTTGTGCAAACATAATTAAAGGGCTTTTACGTCTGGCTTTGCATTCAGACATTTTCTGTGGACTAAAGCCACTCACATGCTGCTTTAACTCATATTGCTCCTCCCTCTTAAAGCAACTGTTACAGTAACTGTTTTACTGTTTCAAAAAGAAACAACATCAATCAACAGCTTTTAAATTACTGCCAGTAAACAGAAGGTCATCTGAACCTCATTTCATTCTAAAACCACATGTATCCCTGCTGTTTTTACAAGATTTGTGATCCCACACAGGTCCTGTAGTCTAAATTTTAAGTGCTGGTATCCACCTATTTCATTGTTTAACTGGCTAACCTAAAATAATCTGATTTTGAGTTTTGTTTCTGATCTTTAGATCCTACATGTTAACACCTGTGCAACGGTATTTTTTACCGAACTTTCATGTTTACATCTAATGATCATTGTTTTTTTTTACTTAAAGAAAACTTTAAGTGATACCCAGAGAGCTGGAAGCTGCTGCACACATCAACACAACATGCCAAAACACAGCCTAGAGGCTTCTCCTGCTGCTGCAGCTTAGGGTGGTGATCTGAAAGACGGATTAACTCTACAACAATAAACAGCACAGCTTCAGCCTGCACAGCAGCAGGGCTCTTAGCCTTAAGGTGTTCTCCAGAGGAAGCAAAGGTCTTAGAATCATAGAATGTTAAGGGGCTAGAATTAGCCTTATATACCATCTAGTCCCAAGCCCCCTCCTACTAGACGAAGCTGCTCCAATTATTCAGCCTGGTTTTGAACACTGCCAGAGTTGGAGCACCCAAAAAAATCACTGGGCAACCTGTGCCAGTACCTCACAGTAAAGAATTTTTTTCTTATAGCTAACCTGAATTTTCCTTTTTTCAGTTTGCACCAACTAGTCTTGATGCTATCACTGCAGTTCCTGTCGAAGAGTCCATCTCCAGCTTCCTTCTAAGTCCCTTCAGGTACTGGAAGGTTGCTATGAGGTCTCCACGTAACTTCCTCTTCTGCAGGCTGAACGGCCACAAGTTTCTCAGCACCAGGCACCCCCGCCCTGTAATTCCGCATCTGAAGGTTTCCCCCAGTGTGCTCATTTTACATACGAGACACAGCTTCAGGAGCCGGGCTCCCGACAGCTGCCCTCACCCCGTGGCCGTTCCCGCCCGGCGTGGCCTGGAGGCGATCCCACCGCCCCGACGGCAGTCGGGGCAGAGCTTCACTCCTCCCCTTACCTCTCCTTTTCTTCGCCTGCGCGGCCTCCCCCGGGAGCGGCCCGACCCAGCGTTCCTCCTCATCCTCCTCGTCCACTGCCGCCGAATCCCGGCCACCCGCCTCCACCTCCGGTGGCTTTCGCTTGCGCTCCGGCTCAGCGGACGCCATGGCGCTGACGTCACTGCCCCGCGCCGGGCGCTATGCAAGTGACGTGCGCGCCGCGGCTCGGACGGCGGGAAGCGGCCATGGTAGTTAACGGACGGGAAGGGGGGCGGGCGAGCCCCGGGCGGCCCGCGGCGCTCAGGGGCACCCCGGCGCCCCGACACCTCGGCGCCGGGAGGCGGTCTCGGCTGCTGGGGCCGCGGGGCTGCTTTGCAGGGAGGGTGCTGTCTTCCCGGCTGGGAAGGGGCTCGGTTCATCCCTGGGCTGTGAGCTGGGATGTCCCGCCTCACGTCCTGCCGCCGCTGTGCTGCGGGGGTTGGCGGTGGGGGCTCCCCGTCTCACCGCTTTTGCGATGTTGTTTGTACCCTACCGATATTTTGCTTCCTAAGGCGCCTTCGTGTCTCTTTTACAAACCTTCTGTCGCTTTCCTCTCCCCTCCCTCGCCGTCTGCCCGCAGCTGGTCGTTGTGTGCTGGGTCACGGGACGCATTTCGCCTTCTTCATGTGTGTGTACGGGTATGAAAGGGACAGTGCCAAGAGAATGGATGCAGGTTCTGCTATGCTGTGCCCAACAATAGGACGAGAGGCAATGGGCAGAAGCTCATGCACAAGAAGTTTCACCTGAACATGAGGAAGAACTTTACCGTGCAGATGACCATGCACTGGAACAGATTGCCCAGAGCGGTTGTGGAGTCTCCGTCACTGGAGATACTCGAGCACCATCTGGACACAATCCTGTGCCATGTCCTCTGGGATGACCCTGCTTAAAACGGGAGGTTGGACCAAATGACCCCCTGTGGTCCCTTCCAACCTGACCCATCCTGTGATTTTTTTGTAAAGCCTTGGCTAGCATAGAGCCTACACTTGGACATGTGTGTATTTCTTACCTAATTATATAGTCCTAAAATAAAGTAAGAAGGAATAACTTGTTGAAAATGGAAGACATTAGTATTAATGCCTAAAAAACTTTCAGTTTTCAGGTATGGTGTGGAAATAGAAATGTAATTTAACCATACTGAAATGGGGAAAAACTGCAAGCTACGAGAAAATAAGATCCGAAAGTGACATTTCATTGTGTGTACTGTGTAAGGTAGATAAGAGCACAGCATTAAGGACGGCAAGTCAGTTTGGCTTGTGAGAGCCCTGTCATGTCTCACAATATGTACATTTTGAAATGTTGTATGAAATTGACCCAGAAATTTAAAGTTATCAACAGAATAATTTCATAATTTTTGTGTGATGGAGGTTTTCTGTCTTTCTCTTCAGAGAAGAGAAAGCATTAGTATTCCATATAATGCTTTAATAGTGATGAATTATAGTAATGCAGGGGATTTGGGCGGAATAGGTTTTTATCCCACCCCATGACCCCTTTCGAGTTTCCAAAGCATGGGATTCTTTTTCTCCCTTTTATGCTTCTGTCTCCCCACTATCCCCCCAAACTCCCTTTGTCTTTTTTTTTTTTTTTGTCTGAGAAAAAACTGCTTAGTTTCTTTCTTAGTTTCTTCCTTCTGGGCAGTCTTTGCTGGAGGCATTTCAGACGTCTTAATAAATTATGGGAACTGGTTCTGTTTTATATTATGGAGCCATTCCAAGATTCTTAAGAAGATAATGATCTTCCTTTCCAAAATCTATGCTCACTAGTTCTTATAAGATCATGGTAACCTAGATTTTGTAGAGCTGTTTTAAATGCAAGAAATTTGCCAGGAAGACTTAGTAGAAGTATTGGCTATGTATGAGTTCTCTAGTGTAATTCCAGCATTCAGTGAGATGTTCTGATTCTCTTTCCTCATCCACTTTGCTATGAGGTGCTTGAACTTTGCAAGTACTAGTAGAATATTTCACTCCTTTTAAAGAATAATAATAATTTTCTCTGATGCTATGTTTTTGTACTGAAAAAGAACAAAAGATTTAGTTAGTAATTTATGCTTCAATCAGAAGTAGAAAAGTGTAATTCTTCTCTAGATCATTATCTATTTTTAACCTTTCTGTTTAATCTCTATGTGTTTGGTGGGTCTAGTGACCCATTAGGTACTTTTAAAGGCTTCCTGCATCTGATATATCTAGCCTGTTGATTGTTTTCGCTGGGAAAAAAATTTTAGTCCTTCTTATTTTTCCCCTGTTAATTGCAGCTGTCATTCAGGTATCTCTTAAGTGAGAAACATACAAATTCATAAATTAATTCCAGCTGTTTCTTTCTGACCCAGCAGTTTCTCAAAGTTTTTAATTTAACTTGGGTTGATTTTTATTTTGGCTCCCCAGGTGCTCTCTTTCCTTTGTTGTCTGTATGTTCTTTCAGGTTCTTTTGTTTGTTTCTCTATTAACTTTGAGGGTGTTAAATTTGTTAATCAAAAATATTCTGAATTCAAATGAAAGAGAAATAGATTACATGTTTATTGACAGAACAGAGGTGCTTAAAAATAAACATATATATAAACATATATATAAAATATATAATAAATATTGCCGATAAATGGAGGTAGAGTGTGGCTTTGTAGATGTAACATGTAGATGTTAGCTTTGTAACTCTCTTATTATTTCTACAATAAAGTTGTCGGAAAATAAAGAAGCCATTGCAAATAATGAAAGCAGTTATGAAAATTTAGGATTTTGTCATTCAATTTTAAAAGTAAATTATTAGTGTCTTCTTAGACACTGATTCTACTTAGTTATATAGTTAGCAGATTTTACTTAATGGCTGGTGCTTTCTAAAACTATGGAGGAGTTAGCTAAAAGCTTTGGATTAAGGGGGTTTATTCTGTTGCATAGTTGATCTGAAATGGCAAGGATGATTAAGTAATCAGTTATTGTAGATCTACATGATAACTGTTCTCTTTGCTTGTTAATAGGCTGAATGTTTATCAGAAATCAGTAACACAGCTGGTCCTGTTGAAGCCAAGGAAGAACTCTTGGATGAATGTGAGAGTATTTGGAAGCAGATGGAAGAGGTATGCAAATATAAATGATAGATGAGCTTTATTATAGAGCTTTTTCAGAATTATTTTATTCACCACATGCTTGCCCCACCCTCTCCAAAGAAACGACTCTGATAAAACCAAACCAAGCAACCAACCAAAAAACCCACACAAGCAAAAAATCACAAACAGAAAAAAAAAGGAAATAGTATCTTCAGAAAGGTCAAATGTAGAAGTGCTTGGAGGGGTGGAGAATGCTTTGTAGAGTCAATGTGCTGATGTTACTATTTATTTAGTGTGGGAGTGTATATTAAAATTATGGAAAATGAAACAATTTATTTGTGTTGTGGTAGTACCAGCATACAGAGACCCTTCTCTCTTCAGCCTCACAAAAGATGGGATTCCATTTCATGCGTCCTTTGGATCTTAGAGGAGAGAGAGAGAATAGGATGAGAGAGAGGCAGCGGAGGACAGTGATGCCTCCCTATGCTTACTCCCTTGCAAACTCACAGTTACATTGTCATGGTTAAAACTTCTCTCTTGTACATAGCACAATATGTTAACAAATAACAGTTATGGGGTGGTTATTTTTATTTTCTGGATTCCCAGAAAAGATAAACTTCTGTCAGTTCTTAGGGAATACTGTTCAGCCTTGTCCATGACTCTCTTCTCAGTTTTTCATCTTCTTCATCTGTTCAATGCCTTTCCCCATATAAACTTTTCACTCATAACTTGTCTTTTTACTCAAAGAATACATCTTTCTTTAGCTGCTACTTCTCTCCTTCAGAGTTAATTAAGTTCTACTTTACTGTGCTGTGATTTCAAAACTTTTCTTAATTTGCTCTTCTGGGTTAGGGTATAGGGGATGTGGAAGGATCCAAGTTAAAATTCATTTATTTCTATATTTAAAAAGTTGGTTTTAAATTTCTAAGAATCGCATTTTGTTCTTACAAAAGAGAAGAGTAAACAACTTTCTTTGTGTTTTATTTATTTTTGTTTCTACCAAGTGTCAGAGCAAGCTAATGCTTCTAGGAACAGAGACACTGCTACCATCAGATGCCAAGGTAAGACAGTGAGTTTTTAAAAATACTCCATTTTCTGCTAAGACCGTAGAATCAGAGAATAGCCTGGCTTAGAAAGGCCCTTAAAGATCATCTAGTTCTAACCCAGGCATAGGCAGAGACGCCTTCAACTAAATTAGGTTGCTTTAAGCCTCTTCCAGCCTGGCCTCACCCCTTTTAGGGGTGGGGCATCTGCAGCTTCTCTGGGCAACCAGTTCCAGTGTCTCTGTGCTTACATAATAAAGAATTTATTCCCAGTATCTAATCTAAACCTGCCCTCTATCATCTTAAGGCCATTTCCCCGTACCCTATCACTACATGCACTTGTAAACAGTCTCTTTTCTTTCTTTTAGGCCCCATTCAGGTACTGGAAGGTCCTATAGTGTTTCCCTGGAGCCTTCTCCAGGCTGAACAAACTCAACTCCCCTCACCTGTCTTTATAGGAGAGGTATTCCAGCCCTCCAATCATATTTGTGGTTCTCCTCCAGACTTACTTGAGCAAGTTCACATCTTTCTTATGTTAGGAACCCCAGAGCTGGAGGCAGCACTCAAGGTGGGGTCTCACCAGAGCAGAGTGGAGGGGCAGAGTCCCCTACCTTCACCTACCTGTTGGCCATGCTGTATTTGATGCAGGGTTATGATTGGCTTTCTGGACTGCAAGTGCATGTGTCCAACTTCTCATCCACCAGGATTCCCAGATCTTTCTTGGCAGGGCTGCTCTCACTCAGCCTATATTGATACTGGGGGTTGGTTGCCCTGACCCAGGCATAGGACCTTGTGCTTGGTCTTGTTAAACTTCAGAAGTTTCATACTAGTGTAGCTCTCAAGCCTGTCCAAGTCCCTCTGGATGCCATACCTTCCTGGCAGTGTGTCAATTGTCCCACACAGCCTGGTGCTGTCACTGACTTGCTGAGGGTGCCCTTGATCCCACTGTCCATGTCCCTGACAAAGATGTTCATAGTGCCTGTCTCAGAAACAGGGCCTATGGAATGCCCCCTCATCGCGGATCTTCACCTGAATGCTGAACTGTTGACTGTACCTGAGTGTCACCATCCAGCCAATTCCTTACCCACTGAGCAGTCTGTCACATCTGTGTCTCAAGAGTTTAGTGACAAGCATGTTGTTCCAAACCGTGTCAAATGCTTTGCACAGCTCCCAAATAGATGATATCAGTAGCTCTTCCCTTATGCACCAATGCCCTAATCCTGTTATAGGAAGCCACCCAATTTGTCAGGTGAGATTTGCCCTTAAATTCATGTTGCTTAACAACAGTTGCCTCTTAATTTTCCATGTCTTAGCGTAATTTCAAGGAGGATCTGCTCCTTGGTCTTGCTGGGCACAGAGGTGAGACTGATCAATCTGTACTTTACAGATTTTTGGTTTTGTCATCTTAATAATATGGGTTGTGTGTCTCCTTTTCCAGTTGGTGGGATCTTCACCAGACTGCCATGACTTTTCAAATGTGATGGATAGTGGCTTTACCACTTCACCTGCCAGTTCCCTGTGGTGGGTTTAATCCTATCTGGCCAGCTTAGCTGTTCATCACTCGCCTCTTCATCTGGACAGGGGAGAGGAAATATAACTGAAGCCTCAGGAATCAAGATCAGGACAGATTTTCTCTTACTAAGTTTGAAAAATGCAACCAATAAATGACCAACATAGGCAACAAAATGGGAGGAGAAGGGGGTGTAACTTCAATACTTGTTTGGACTTTTCCCTAATCAGTGCATATGTAATTTCTTCTTGTTAAATGTCATTGTTGTGCTATCCCTTACAGTATCCTTGGGGACTGTGCAGCTGTGGGATGAGCAGGTTCACAGTGTGCTGGGTAAAGACCTGTTGAAACATAGAGCTCAGTGGGGTGCAGTGACTGGGGCTGTATCTAGCTAGTGACCAGCCACCAGTGGTGTTCCTCAGGGTGCAGCTCAGCTCTGTTCCACGTGTTTATCAGTGATCTGGATGAAGCACTGGAATGGCTGATGACTCCAAACTGGACGATGGTTGGCACTCTGGAGGGACCAGAGGCCTTGCAGAGGGATTGAGCTAGCTTAGAACATTGGGCAATCCTCAGTGGCATGACATCTAATGTCAGCAAGCCAGCAGGAAAGGAGTGGCTGCTGGGCAGCCCTGCAGGAAGAGCTCTGAGGGCGCTGCCTGACAGCGGCTCAGGGTGATCCCACAGGGTGCCCTGGCAGCCCGGAGGGCAAACGGCATCCCGGGAGCCTGGAGGGTGGCACTGCCAGCCACAGGAGAGGGGACAGAGCCCACAGGGTGCCCTGGCAGCCCGGAGGGCAAACGGCATCCCGGGAGCCTGGAGGGTGGCACTGCCAGCCACAGGAGAGGGGACAGAGCCCACAGGGTGCCCTGGCAGCCCGGAGGGCAAACGGCATCCCGGGAGCCTGGAGGGTGGCACTGCCAGCCACAGGAGAGGGGACAGAGCCCACAGGGTGCCCTGGCAGCCCGGAGGGCAAACGGCATCCCGGGAGCCTGGAGGGTGGCACTGCCAGCCACAGGAGAAGGGATTGTCCCTGTGTTCAGGGCTGTGCAGCCTCACCTGCAGTGCTCAGTGCAGTTCTGTGCCCCACAGTTTGAGAAGGTTGTGAAGATCCTTTGAGTGCATCCAGAGGAGGGCAACAAAGCTGGTGAGAGGCTGGAAGGTATGTCCTGTGAGGAACTGCTGAGGACTCTGGGCTTCTCTACTTTGTAGAGAAGGAGCTGAGGGGTTTTTTCTGATTACTTTCTACATCTTCCTCAGGGAAGTGGAGATGGAGATGCTGATATCTTCTCCCTGATATCCAGTGATATTATATGTGGGAATGGTTCAAAGATATGCAAAGGGTGGATCAGAAATGACATTAGAAAGTATTTCTTTACCTGTATGAACCTTCCTCTGTAGCGCCTTCACAACTCTGCCAATTCTGACTCCTTCTCATTTCCCCCTTTTGAAAAAATAATAGAAACATTCCATGATCCCTGTGAATTACTCTAAAATATTTTGAAGAAACTAGTGTTCTATTGTAATAGATGCTCATTTGTTTTCTACTGTATTAACTTAACAAGTCGATTTCTATCCTGTTCCACCTCATTTTATGCCAATGCAACTCAACACACTTCAAGATATCCTTCTTTTCTTGTTACACAGCTTTCCTTGTTAATGCTACGGTGGAAAGCTTTAACAGTAGATTTTCATCAGTGGCAAGCAAGAAATCCTGAAGGTAAGTAACTGTTTCCTTGTAAGGAATGTTTATATAACCTACTGCAAAGTTTCTTTGATCTAGGCCATGAGTGTATTGAATGTCTGCTGATTTTATTTTCATTCCATAACTACTTAAAAATTAAAATAATGCTACTTTAAAAAGTAGGATGTATGTTTCATTTCTTCATTATTTTTGCACTTTAGTTCTAAGTCAACTTGAAATTAAAAGTGAATTCCACTATAACTTAATCCTATGATTCTGGACAAATAAGTGCATGATTCATATCACAATTTATCAGTCAATTAAATGGAAAAACAATGATTAGCAGATCTCCTAACCAAATAATAAAAGTTAATTATCCTGTTACCCTCCTTCATATTGTTTTCTAAGTGATTGTTTTTTCTCTATCTTTTATTTGTATTTCGTTTTTAGAACAGAAATATTTTGGCAAATAATTTTGTCTTTTAAGAAGCTGATACATTAACCATACATCTTCTGATTGTTTTTCTGATTAAATGTGTGTAGTGTTATGATGTGACAGTTGAAACTTTGAAATAGACCTTTAGTGCTAAGCCCTTTACACTCTAGTGAAATACCTATTTTGATTTAACAGGGATAGGAGATTTCAAGTCAAGATAAAGTGGTAAGAGCAACTAGAATTTTAAAAAAACTCAGGAATCCAGAACACTTACTGATTCTGAGAAGCACAAACCACTGAGACTAGTGGTAGTTCTTATGTTTGTTAGGCATTATCAGTCAAAAGGTATCAATTCCTCAGTTCTTCAAAGTTCTCTTTGTACATAAGCACCACTGCTGATAAATTTTACCCTCTTGCAAGGCTGATGTGGCCAGACACTGGAAATAAAATAGCATTCAGGATCTAAGTGTGAGTAAAGTAATCTTTGTTTTCAGATGTCCCATATGGACATTACTAAAACAGTTCACACTACACTATCATTAATATTCTGGTAGTACTCATGGTTATGTCTCCTGTCAAGGACCTGTTAGCACCTGTCAAACAAGTAAAACTTCTAGTTAATCTTTAAATTAATATATTTACTCAATTGAATATTTTTATGCCAGTAAAGCTTGGTTTTATAGTATTTGCAAAATTATAGGAATGTCTTATAGACAGCATGTGGTGATTTCCAATGTTTTGTCATTTAGCCAAATGGAAATGCCTTTTCAGATCAACATCAGAGGCAGTTCTCCAACTTTTTTCAAAGCCTATGTATTTGCTGCATCTCATCACTAAATTAGAGAAGCTGAGATTTTTTTTTTCTGTATAAACAGATACTGTTGCTGTATTAGAATAAATTCATAGTTCAGTGCTTTAAGCCTCACTCCAAGAACTGTCAGCCTCCAGTGCTACTGAGGTATGTAGACCAAAGGCATGTCATTGAATGAATTTGGAACATACTGGTTACTGGCTGCTGTTCATGAATAAGTTGCTGGCTTAAAGCAAATTAATTGAAAGAACTTAGTTTTTATCTGGGTAAAATACCTGAGGTTGTTAGATTTCCGTACTAAAATATGTATATTAAACTTCAAGCTATTGGCTTAAAAATATCCTTGGCCTATTTTTTTGGCTTGCTGACTTACTTTGTTCAACCATTCTTTCTTCTTCCCAGATGATAATATTTCTTATTAGAAACCCTAATTTTTTAATAGAGAATTGTCTATAATTAATACTTTACAACCAAATCTCTGCCTTTTTTTGGCTCCCTTTCCACTGGAAGAAAAAAATCCTGCTAAGAATTTGAATAGAGTTGTGGTGCTTGTATGGAAATGAGGAGTCCCCTTTGCTTACTTCTCTGTCTTGGCTTCTTTCTACCTACAATTTGTTTTGAAGGAGGAATTACTTAATTGAAAACATTATCTGATTATATCTAAATAAAAATAGCAGAAATACTGATTTAATACAATTAAGTAATAGAGCATGAATGTCAGGCCATCTTGTAACTTTGGTTTTAGCTTTTAGTAGTGGCCAGTTCATTTCCTGTAAATGAGGACCTGTCAGCATTTCAGTCTTAAACCTTATTTTCAGAGGTTATAGCTTGGCAGTTCTACATTTTTTTGAGCACAATATTGGCAAGCAGACTTGAATTCACGATGCAAATTTTATTTTTGCAAAGCTTTTGCTTTAGTGTCTTTTTCTTTCTCAATTTCTGGTATTATTTATGTAGCTCTAGATCTGCTAAATCAGCTGAATTAAAACTTCTAAAAAAGCTTTTGGCTTATAAAAATAAAATTTAACTTTTACCTTTGCAAAATCAGGAAGTGAAAGCAACCATATTTTAAACCATTTCAAACAGTTGTGGTCTCTGCATAAATTCTGTTTTTCTTTGCAAAATAGCAGTATTCTGCCAAATACCTTTTTGTTTTATTTTAATATGAGTTTCTGTATAAACATGTGCATAGTAGTTGCTTTTACATTCCTAGCATCTGGTAGTATTTTTCTTAGTAATTGTACTGTTTATCACTAGGCAATTCTCTCTGACATTTGATTTTTTGCAAGTGATTCAACAAAACTGAAAAAGATTTAATTGATGTGGATTGAGCAAGCAGTGAATTTACAGCAGCAGCTGGCATAAGTGTGTTGTCCCAGTGTTTTAGATCTGCATTGTTCCTTCACTAAATTATGGCTAGTGATTTCTTTCCCAGGAACACAGGGCCTTCTATTCTGATACTCACACAGTATGAACAGTGAATGGCAAGCATGAACTCAGGATCAGGTGTCTAGAAATAAAGAAGCATTATGAGGCAGTTGTAAAAATTGGTAATATTTGGTAAGGGAAGGCTTATAAAGATCATGTCACCAGGAAGTGGCAGGAGGAAGAATTGTATGAGTTTTTTTCAAATGTACTAGTGAATGTGAATAAAAGCTCACCAATTAATTTTATCACATGTAGGTAGTAGATTCATGTAAATAAAGAAATCTTACTCCAATAAAGCACAGACCACTGTCTCCTGCAGCTCTTAAGTTTGAGTGGAAGCAGAGTACTTAAATTTTGTGTCAAGATTTAGAAACAGTAATTTTCCAATTTTTTTTGAACTAAAAGGAGTTTTATTGAAGAATTTAATTTAATGCATTTTTTGATGCTTCAGTAGTTTTTCTGATTTTCATCTCAGAACAAACAGTGCTTTTAAAACTACTAATCTAAAGCTCCTTAAAATTTTTGAGGTAAGTACTGTAGCATTACCAAAGAAAGTGCTTTTCTGAATTTATTAAATAGACTGTGTGTATTTAGGAGATGTTGAATGCTGTCATGAGAGGGTTAAGGATTTCCTTTTTGATCAAGGAATTTTTATTTAAGTAATTATTTGTAAGATTAGAGATTTCAAGCCCAAACTTGCACCAAAAAATCCGCCTATAAAGATTTTAATCTGTTAGAATAGCTTTCATTTCTCCTGTTAATGTATTGAAATAGTTCAAAAAAGTCATATGTTTATGCAGAAGCTGCAAGTTGACATGGATCTGAGAATTGATTGGAGTCTGTTGAATGCTGTAAAAAACAAGAATTTAACTTTTCATTCTGAAAATGCATGAGTCATAAATCACTGCATTTTGTAGAAGCATTCTGGAGAAAAATTTTCATCTTCTTGAATTGTACTTTGGTTTCACTTAGGTATTGCTGTCGCTCAGTGTTTTGAGTTAGGGTATTGGCCTTGCTGGGCCATTCATCTCCCTACTGTTTTTGTGAACAGTAAGGATGGTGACATGCTTCTGAAGTTATAAAACTAGGTTCTATAGTCCTGATCAAGCATTTAGGAGGCTATTTAACAAGGAATTGGAGGACTGGAAGAATTTGATTGCCCACATTTGTAATGTTGATGGAATGCCTTCTGCTAAAAAAATCAGGCTTGATTGTCTTGATATGTATAGACATACGCTGTTTATTCATCATGCACCCTCACCAATGTATTTGGAGCCAGTTCAGGTATAAAAATAACACACAAGCATTAACACTGCACTTTTTTCAGTCTAATTTAATTTGCTGAATAGTGATAGTAGGTTAACCCGGCAGGACACCACAGCATGTGGTTAAACTGCTACTGAGAGCCAAACTGTTCTTCAGAAGTTACACAAATTTCTCTCTAGCCACTCTGCTTTTCAGTATAAATAAATCTTTATCATCCAATGGAAAAAATAAACAATTAATTTTATTTTTCAGTAATTTCTACCAATCCAGATGTACTGTTAGAATTGGGAAAAGAAGAGGTAAGTTTAATAAAATTTTGTTGGGAAAAAAACCAATACATGCAATTGCTGCATTTTCCTATGACTGTTCCTAGGGTGGACTGCTAAAATGCTGTGTATTTTCCTTCAGCCATTTATGTTGTTCTGATGCTTTCTTTCCCCCTCTAGTATAACTAGTAAAATTTCCTAGTTATGATGAGTGAGGTTTTAAACTGACTTATTGCACAAATCACTGAGTAGTGCACAATGAACAGTATTTTGCCTCTGGACACACCATCTAATCACAGTAGCTCAGCAAACTTATCTGCATGCAATGAAAATGATGTGACAATTGACATCCCTGCTACATTAATGCTCCAAGGCCTCACTTAAGATTGGAATCCCATTGCGCTGGATGCCACCAGGAGACAAATCTTGACTGATGACTATGCCTTGCAAAGACTTCATCATCATCTGTAACATTGTGCAGCAGGGTCCATTTCTAGACCTGAAGCCTACACACTGTACTTTTCAAGATTACTTTCAGTTAACATTGCTCAAGGGCAAGAAGATCCACTCAGAATTGTGTTTTCAAGTTGATCTGTGGCTGAATTTTAATTGCTAATTTGTCACAGAATGGCTGGAGTTAGAAGGGACCTCTGGAGATAGAATCATAGGATAGTTTAGATTGGAAAAGACCTCTAAGATGATTGAGTCCAACAATCCAAATCCACCACTAAACCCTGCCCCTAAGTGCCTCACAGGATTGTGTCGAGGTGGCTTTTGAATATCTTTGAGGAAGGACTCTCCACAGCCTCTCTGGGCAGCCTGTTTCAGTGCTCAGTCACCCTCCAGTAAAGCAGTTTTTCCTAATTTTCAGATGGAAATTCCTGTATTTGAGTTTGGGCCTCTTGCTCCTTGTGCTATCACTTTGTACCACTGAAAAGACACCTGCCATTAAGATATTTTTGTATGTTTTTTTAAACAAAATGTTATAATATATTGCATTTCATACTTAATAGAAAATGATGTAATATTATGTGTTACATGGAAGAGTCAGTTATCTTTGACATTGAGTTCTGTGGCAATAATTTGCAAATATTTTGTTGCGTTCCTCCATTGGAAGAAAGAGCAAATCAATAATGTCTTGTGGGTAACATTATACTATATTGATGGGACATAGGAATGCTATGTGACTTGAGAATATTCCTGGGTCTAATGCCTTCTAGTATCACTCACAACAGCAAATCTGACTGCTGTTAAGAGTCACTATCAAAAAGTTGTTAGGTTACACACTTTGATTGGCATGTTGATCTGATATGTGAGGATTACAGCATTTTTTCCAGATGGTATATATATTGAGCATATTTGTTTCTGTAGCATATTTTCAGAATGTATATTTCTTTGAGCTAAATTCCTAGGTGCTCTTATTTTGTATGGAAGCAGAAAAAATACATCCAAATCATAGGCTTATATAAGAAACATTATTTTGTTCAAGACCATAGTGCTCTAACAGGGGATCTCATAAATTTATACAAGTGTCTGAAGAGAATGAAGCCAGACTCTTCTCATTGATGCCAAGCAGTAGGACAAGAGGCCATGGGATGCACAAGAACACAAGGAAGAGCTTCTATACTGTGCACTGGAAGAGATTGCCCAGAGAGATTGTGTAGTCTCCCTTGCTGGAGTTTGTCATGACCTGTGTGGATGCAACCCGTGCCATGTGCTCTTGGATGACCCCTGCCTGACCAGGGAGGTTGGTCCATGTGACCCACTGTGGCCTGTCACAATGGTTAAAGAAACTTCCCCATCCAACAGCCCAGGAGCTGTGGTGTCAGTCACTAAGCCCATTCACAGCTACCCACACTGACACAGATCAGGTGTCCTTACCCGCTCAATCCTAGGTTTCCTTCTTCCCTTAGGTTCACACATCCTGATCCTTAAAATAATTTAATCATGGCATAATAACAGAATAACAGCTCGAGCTGGGTGCCTCTGAGGAAGGACCCAGAAAAAAGGAATTTAATACCCTCAAAGCCAAAAGGCTTTTATGCCCTCACAGTGTAAACACAGAAAAGTCCAGGTGTCATCAGCTTCTGCCATGTCTCAATGTCCCCTCCCCTGGCAGGGCCACAGGCCCCCAGGCCCCTGTTGTACAGAGTTGGTAGTTCACTTGCCTGGGGCTCTTGCCAGAGCTCAGCCCAGAGCTCAACCTGCAGCTCTGCTGCAGCTGCACCCTGAGCCACCTGCACTGAATGTGTTCCTCAACACAACCTTACATATTCTGTGATTTCTATAATGGAAGACCCAGCCCACTGAGAGTCCACTGTTCCCTACATTCAGCAATGCCTATAGCTTCTGACTGCAGTCGTTTTATTTCTCTGTTTTTCCTATCCCAGATGTGTCATAGCACTGAGGATCATTTAATTAATGGATGCAGTTAGTCTTTCTTTGATGCATCTTCATTTTCTGTACATTTTATGTGGTGCAAGTAGCATGGATTCATTCCTGCCAGCAGCTGCAATAGTTTAGACAATAGAGCCCTGGTGCTGTAGACGTTTTCTCCTCAGCCATTCATCAGCTGAGCAGTTCATGTGTGTACTTCAGGTAAAATTAAGTATTTTGTTAAGCTTTGTGAGCTTCAAGAAGACACTAATGAGCAACTGATCACAGTGATGTTTTGAATAGCTTCTGCATTTTAAACTGGATTTTAATGTTTATTAAGGTGCAGATGATTTTGTTCCCCTTTATCAGATTTACAAATGTAGTCTTACATAGAACAAATACTACTGTCTGGGCTACCTGCAAACAGTTTAATTTCTATTCTTTTATAGTTGCAGAAAGTAAAAAATGATCTTGAAATGGTGCTGTCAACAGTTCGGTCAAAGAATAAACAACTGGAAGAAGATCTGAAAAGGTAATAAAGTAATTTGAACTTTGGAATGCTGTAAGCTTTCTTCTTTTTTTGACTGCCCAGGGAAACTATTTATGTGTTGTGCCATTTCCTACCTTTCATGTTTCAAAGAGAACAGCAGTGGTATGAGGAACAGAAACAGATGCTAGAGACTCTTAATAAAATGGAAGAAGAGGCAAATACTGAAGTTGAACATCCTTCCACAAAAAGGTATTTCTACATTTTTGAGTTACAAATTCAAGAATTTAAATACCAACAGGAGCAAATGAACAAGCAAACTCTTAAAATTTATTCTTTGTCTTATTTAATGGATCAAATAATTGCTCAGTAATCCATATTTGAAACATGAAAGTAATGCTACTATATCCTTTGATTAGAGACAATGAATTTCTAACAATAGATAATAAGGGGTTTTTTTACTTAGGAGGGACTTTTTAGTTACTCGATTTGATCCCTTGTTTTGTTGCTATGTTTTTACTGTTAGTTTGAAAACTAGAGAACTCAATGAACTGAAAAATAAAGTACTGAAATTAAAGACCTATAAGAAAGAACTCCTGAGTGCTTTGGGTGAATTCCTGGATGAACATTTTCCCCCTCCAGAGAAAGGTGAAAATAGTAAAAAAAAGGTAAGACTTTTCTTTACCTAATAAATTTGAAATGCTGAGTTTATATTTAATTAGATGCAGTATCTGTTTGAAGTCACTAGCATTGAACCTGCAGTTGTATTTTGAAATAAGCATAATTTTTACAGCTGATCCTCTAGGTTTAATTTATATTTTTCAGGTTGTTTTCTATTATTTAAGGCTGTTTCCAGCTGGGTATTTTCTTTTCTTAATGCATATATCCCTTACCCAATGAGAAGCATAGCAATATATTGTATTTCTTACTGAACTGCAAGGTATGCCACATTTGGAAATGGTGTGGGGTTCAGTCCAAATTGACTCTTTTTTTTTTTTTACTTGACTGGGCAAGTAGATTCCTATTTTCCTTGGCAAAGCAAATTTTAATTGTCTAACAATGTTTTTGGAACAATAAGGAAAAGTGTTTATAATTACAGAGTAGTTTGGAATGTTAACCATCAGATTTTGTTCAGACAAACTGGGTCAAAAATTATCGTAAGACCTCAGGGAGAATAGGCAGCCAGGGAGTATTTTGCATAATAAATTCAAAGTGTGCAGTAAAAATAAAACGATTACCATTAGTATTTGATAGATGAAAAAAAAGCTATGAAAAAAGGCAGTGTTTGATTTTGATTTCAGGAACACTTAACATTACAGAAGTTGAAATTATTTCTTTAATCCAGTTCCCTGTTATTTCGGGTAGCTACATAATATAATTTCTTCAATATTATCATTGAGTTCCATTTTAGAACAAATAATTTTTTTTACTACTGTTTCTCCTGTGTTTTTTCTTCTAGCACCTCAGAATAGCTCTTTTACCTTCTTGTATTTATTCCTCCTGATATATTTACAGCAGCAATCTCATATCCTCTCTTTCTTTGTTTTGCTAATTGAACTAGCAACACCTTTATGTTCTCCTGCAAGATAATATTTTTCAATTCTCTAGCTTATCCTAGTAATAACCATTGTCTATGTTTGTTTTCACTTGGATTCATCTTTTTTACAACCTGCTAAGAAACAATATTATAAATAAAACTACTAGCTCACACCCATCACCAAAGCAACAAAGTACACCCTTGTCTTTTTCTGTCTGTAATTTGCAGCTAATGAATCCTGATCTTTTAATTAAAAAAAAAATGTTTTGCACATAAGCATATATTTTGCATATAAAAATAACAGTGGATTTGTCAAGACATGGTGTTTATTTTCAAAGTATTATTCAAATATCTTATTTTGTTGAATCTTAGTTTTTCTTCGTACCAATGCTTTCCTTTCCTGTTGTTAGTAAATGTGACATATTTTGGTATAACTCTTTCCATTTTAGAAACAGTTGCATGTAGGACAGTGTCAAATGATTTGCAAAAGTCCAGGTAGATGCCATCAGTTGTTCTTCCTTTTCCACAAATACTGTAACTCTTGTAGAAGGCCACCAAATTTGTTGGGTGTAAATGGTCTATAGTGAAGCCATGTTAGCTGTTACCTATCACTTTACTTAAACAAAAAAACTACTTTGATTAATTTCAACACAAGGTTTTATCTTTTCTTAGCTTAAATTTTATTTATACATTTCTGAACTCTTAAACAGAGTCTGTTTTCTGACAGTCTTTTTCTTTCTTTTCACTCTTTGTGAATTCATAACTTTTCTGTACCTTTTGACTCACTTGGATCACTTGGTTTAACTACAGGTACCTCTTAATCTGCATCTAAGTAATTGACTGGGAAGGCAGGACAGCAAGCCATTTTTGCCTACATTTATTGAGTGTAAGAAATACAAATTATAATCACTGAAATGAATTAGCAATGAAATTAGCTGCTACGTTTGTTCATGAGAACACATTATTCACTTCTCCTATCAGCTTGGTTCAGCAGTCTAGCAGCACCAAACTCTGCACATCAGCAATTTTGCTTCACTTTGTGGAAGCATGTTGTGTTCACAGTGGTTCTGTGTGAGGGCAAATGTGCAGGGTTGATGTCTGTAGGACATGGCTGCAGTATAGTTTGAACTGCTCCAAGCCTCACTGGTCTGGTTCCACCCTCCTTTCACCTGGCGACATGCATGTGGGATTGGGAGTGGGAATGAGAGTGAAGACTGCATCATAACAGCTCATGTTGGCTTCCATTGCCATGGCCCAACACCTTTAATATAGGTAGTGACTGTAGTAACGATGGTCTTGCATTTTAAATCTAGGATAAAAATCTACTTTATTTTTTTCAAGATAATAATATGAAAAATCAGAGGCTGAGGAATATTCTTTATGCAAATCTGTCTGATCGGAAGGGTGAAGAAGGTGCCTTTCAGGCTAATTAATGAAATGCTGAGCATCCTGCTTAACGACTTTATAAGCATTAAGTGATTAGTGGTACTTAATTGTATTAGTTATAATCTTGACCAGGGAAATATATCAGCAAAGGTTGTGAAGTACCTTCCTGTTTGCTCTAAGGAGCTTTTTGCTGATAGGTAATGTCGATTCTATTTCCTCAGCCAAATATCGAGATAAGGGCATATAGATAGATGTTATTGGGTCATAACACCAGGATTTGCAGAGCTTCCATGGAGAAGGCTCTCCCTGGAAAGTGAAATTCTGCAGGTGAGACTATTACAAACTGTGACTGGGAAAAAGGATCCAGAACTTGCCTTTCAGAATATTCTTCTTTCTTGCTTGTATTCTTCCTCTGTTCCAGAAGTGAAGTTTGTCTAAGGTCCTGCACAGCTGGTAATATCTTAGGTCTTAAATTCATGCATTCAACCGCAATGCTGAGAAAGTCAGTGGAATATTATCTCCTTTTATTTTGTTGAAACTGAAGTGCATGGGGAAAAAGAATAAAACTGGAAAATTAAAGAAACAGGTTTACCCTGCAACAGTACAAGCAGATCCATTGACATTGCTGCCAAAGGAATCTCTATAGACAAATGGCTTGATTTGCTTGCTACAAAGGAAAAGAAGTAATCTTTTAGTGATATTTTATCATTGCCTTTTATTCCACCAAAATTTTTAATTACTCTATTTCTCAGCCTTGGTAAGATAAATGTTTTAGCTGAATTCAAAGCAAGTAAGTATTCATTGTCAAATTATGAAAAAAATATTGAGGCACTATGAAATTAAGTCTTGAGTTGTGTGAAATTTCTATTATAAACATTTATTTAAAGCTCATGAAAAATATTTTTTCCTCCAACAAATTTGTTCACAGAATGTTCTGTACTACATTATAAATTTGATGTACTTGGTTTTATTTAAATGTAAACACAGATGAAAACATTATGATCACTTTAGATAAATCTCTCTTGATAACTCAAAAAATGTTACATTTGAAGTGTAGGATTTTGAACTGGTAGATTTAAATGCTACCTCTATTTCTTTCAGGACTAAGTCTAACTAAAAGTTTTCATCTTTTGTGTACTATGCAATCAAATAATTGTGTAATTATTTTACTTTGTCAATTAAAATTTTTCTTAACTGGTTTGGGGTTTTGTTAATTTGGCTGGGGGATGTTTGTCTTTCCAGAACTCTTTGGCAGAGCCAGTTGTAGAACTGATAACATTGCAAGAAATTTTAGAGGTAAGATGTTTTCACTATGTAGAGATTTGAGGAATTTTTAAATATTCACATGTAATAATGGTGATGATGATGATGATAAAGTGTTTATTACTAATATAAATAACAGTATGTGGTATTTAGTTAAGACAGTTAACCTAGAATGATTAAGAATGTTGTGTCTACAAGAAGAGTGCAGGGAGACCTCATTGTGGCCTTCTGGTTCTAAAAGGGGGCTTATAAAAAGATGCAGAGCAACTTTTTGCATGGGGGAATAGTTTTAAATTACAAGAATAGATATTTAGATTAGCTTTCAAGAATAAATTCTTTACTGTGAGGGTGGTGAGGCAATGGAACAGGCTGTCCAGAGAAGCTGTGGATACTCCATCCCTGGCAGTGTTCAAGGCCGGGTTGGATGGGGCTTGGAGCAATCTGATCCAGTGCAAGGTGCACCTGCCCATGGCGGGTGCTTGGAATGAGATGATCATTAAAGTACATTCCAACCCAAACCATTCTGTGAATATAGGTCAGTTTTCTATTTTAATTCCTATCAAAGTAAACCCCACATTATCACAAGAGGTGTGGCAATAATTAACTGGTTCAGCTTAGACTGGAGAATGGCTGTCTCTTATTTCTTGATTTTACAATATTTGATTCAAAGACGTTTTATGTGCCTTAGTGGCTCATGTTGGGAGAGACAAATACTGTGTATAACAAAAAAAAAAGGTCAATTTCATGCTCTTTTATACTGTTTCAAGAAAAATATTTCTGAAATATACATTAACAGAAGGACTAAATGTGTAGCCTCAGCAGGACCAATAGTCTTGTGCATTAACTGGATTATTAAGTCATACAAGGAAATCAGTTCATCCGATTCATGCATTTCTGATTGATTTTATAAGTATAGAGGCATTGCTTAGTGCAAATTTTTAATTACAGTGCAGTTTATGAATGTGAATTGCAAAGCATAATTTTTCTTCTTGTCTTAAAAGTAGCATATGAAGTGAAGTTTTCTGTTCCCCCTCCTTAGACAGTTCTAAGTTCTATATGTAAGATGTCCTTGGGGAAAATTTTTTTTCTTGATGCAAAATGTGATGTATAAAAACTTGCTGGTATTAAGATGCTATTATCTAATCACTGTGTACTACCGTTTAAAGCCCAGGCTTTGGGCTTACATCATCAAAATCATTTTACATGCTTCAAATATCTCAGCATACCTTTTAATGCCAAATTAGGCAGAGCTTGAAAACAGATCAGAATTCAGAGTGGCCACAGCCCTTGTGGAAAAAGAATTTTGAAGTTCTTTTAATGCTTTAAAATTGCTCTTCATATTTTTCTGATATTGTTAATCTCCTAAAAATGGGAACATATTCATGTTTGGAAGAACACACTATTTGAAAAGTTCAAAAATTCATTTTGAATTTCAACATCCTGACCTAAAGTGCCAATGTCCCTTATCTTTGTATTCAGTAGTATAGGAAGGTTTTTCTTTGTTGAGTCGTGTTGTTCTAGCTTCAAGTCCCTGTTTGTTGGAGCTCAGTACTTCCCTCTGGATGTCCAGAGTTGCCAAGGACCCCGTCAGGGGGCTCGGAGACCCTGGCATGCAGCCCAGGGCACCTGGGGATTTAATTTTGACCCTTGGAGCGAGTTACCAGCTTTGTATGAGGACGTGAAAGTCACACAGGTTTGAATAGTGTAATAATAAAATATTCACAGGGTGAAAATGTAGATTTAAGGATTTTTGGTATGGGGGTTATGGGGACAAGATGGAGGAATCAGGGTGTGTCTGGTCCTTCTTCTTTCTTCTTCTTGTTCTCCATTTTCTGCAGTGATGCTGGCACTTTGGGATTGGTTTAGAGTAGAAGTGCACTGTCTAACATAGGGGATAGGTATTGGGAATTAAGAGCAAATATGATATACGTAGTTTGTAGTATAAAAAGACAATACTGCCTCAGGGTGGTCAGAGTGCTTGTGGCTGCCTTGCTGAGCAGATTTTGGCTGGGCAGAAAGAAAATTTTATAGATAAGAATTAATAAACAACCTCAAGACCAAAAAGTGAAGAGTCCAGACTCGTTCTTCAGTTGCGCGAGCTGAAGCAGAGACATCCTACACATCTCGGGGCAGAGAACATCAACAGCCAACCCGAGACCTGTTAAATGTGAAAAATGTTTTCTGAGGTACACATAAGTTATTACAGCCATGAAAGCTATCTTGGAGTATCAGATGTCAGAAAAAAACAAGTAAAAATTTGTCTAGAATAATGCATTTGGAGTAAATTCTCATAATTGGAAGTACAAAATATATTAACTGGAACAATTCTTCTTCAGAATGTTCTGAAAAAAAAGAGTAGTCGTTCATTTGGGTCTTTTATTAGCTGCACTGGATGCAAAAATATAAAATCTGGTAGCAAGTATTTTGAATTTGACTTTAGCACTAAAGGGCAAAAAATATTTTGTACCTACTGAAATTGGGACAGTATAACATTCAAAAGCTCTGAGAAGAAAGATTAAATATCTAGGTTAAATAGAAAGAGCACCATGGGATGGGTAAGGTTATTTAATCTGTAATGTGTGCAGTAGTCCCCATGAGCAATATCGTGAGGGCATGAATATGAATGGAAACAGAATGACAAAACTGATTTTGTTTTTAACTCCATTAACTAATTCGGTATCTAGATACAGCATTTAATCTACATTTATTCTGGAATAAAAGAGGATTCTGGTTCTAATTTTTATGTCAAAAAAGATGTTATGTAGCTAATTGGAAGTCCTTTACTTCTACTTTGTACAGGTCTCATATTTCTTCTGTATAGTCCTTTTTATCTTATATTGCCTACATCACAGTAATTTGTAAAAATTTGGTTAAAGGAGATAAAATCTAGCTGTTTTGTTAATTTCCTAAATCTTATCCTTTTGGTCTTCCAGATGCTGATAAACACATTAATGACCACACCACATGAACCTTATATAACAATTAATGAGTCATTTTGGCCACCTTATATTGAGCTGCTGCTGCGATATGGAATGGCCCTGAGACATCCAGAGGATCCAAACAGAATGCGCCTCCAAGCTTATCACAAGTAGTGTGACCTACATGTGCACTTGAAAATAAAACAACACCAGTCTCTTAATTCAGGGCTAGGACATACTTAGGTTTCCTACTAAGCTTTCTTAGTATCAAACATCACTTCTTGTTGGATGATTTTTTTCTTTTATATTAAAATGGATATTTAAGAGCATAAAACATAGAAAAAGAAAAAATAATAATCTATTTTAACTGCTTACATTTGGCCTTCAGTGTTATATCAAGATTTGCATTATGGAAGGTTTTTATCACTGCTTCTGTAAGATGCAGATTCATGTAATAGACAAATATGTTTAACAGTCCTTTTTACTTTAAAAACCATACTTTATACATTACTTCTATAGATTAGATTTCTTAGATTGCCTGAAGTTGTCTCTATTTCCTTTAGTATTTTCTTGTATTCTGTAGAGGCAAAATTCAGAATAAAACCACTCCTGTACATGGCCTTGCAAACATTTGGAAATAACAGAGAGGTATCCTCTCAAGAATCTGTTATGCCTTGTTTGTTTCTCAGAGCCCTTGCAAACAATTTTACTGGCCCGACGATAAGCACCTAGGAAAGCTGACACATCTTTCTGTGCAAGGTGCAGCAGATGTTGAGTCTATGCCTTTCACTGCACGCTTCCCAAATGGCCTACTTTGTGTTATGCTGTATTGCCTTACAGTATCTGTCTTCACGTTTTCAGACCTAGCTTATCAAGGCTTTTAATGGATCTCTGTTCTGTTGATCTCTACAGCTTCTACGTTATGTCAGTTGAGAGTTACCTTCTGACTCAATGCTGGCATTCTTTGCAATCTCAGTCTTTTTTGTAGCCATTTTTATTGTATTGTATTGAGTACAAAATTCTACTCTTGCTTATCTGTAGTGACTAAATTATCCTTTATTAACCAGATTGTAGTTTATTGAGGGAGGAGCTTGGGTGATTTTTTAATTGATGGAAAAATAAAGGGTTGTATACTATCACAGAATGTCTTTGTGTGATGGTTTTTAGAATGGTGTTCATGTGATTTGGTGTGATGACTTGTAAAGATTATGTAAGGATGCGTGGGAGAGGTAAGGGGGACCAATCTAAGTTCCAGTATAATTGCTCTTTTTAGACCAATTAAAAGTTAAGCAAAAAAAATCATCATCTTGTGTAGTTTTGAGTGAATGCTGTTCATATTAACCTTCCAACTGGTGATTAAGCGTGAGTATAGAATGTGGTGCGTGGTGTTGTGCATGAGCATTGACTTCTTGGTTCATATTGCTTGTGTAACTACCCTTCTGTTGTGGTTTATCTTTTCTTATGAGCTCTAGAGTCTGACTAAACTATACACATTTACCTTACAGTATTTTTAATTAAGAATTTGAATAACTACATTTTTTTGTTTACATTTATAGCATTGTCTCTTTAGGGTTTTTTCCTTTCTTTGTGCTTAAATGCTTTGTATTCTGCTATCCTTTCACCTTATTTATTAACACTGCTCAAATACTTCATTGATGCTGGATGACTGCTTCTGTCTTGACATTAATAAGTAGAAGAAGAAATGTTTAACACTCAGTAGCCTCTTGTGTTTAAAAAGAAGAAGAATACCAACCCATACCACCCACTTCCCAAATCCAAACCCAAACCAAAGAATTGAGGAGATAGAACAGTCTATAAACAAGTGCTCTAAAGAAGATGCAATATTCATTATTCTTCATACCAAAATCAGATCTCATCCAAGTAAAATACCAGAACAGATTTAAATGAAAGTACTTCACATAAAGCTTTACATTCAATTATTGAACTCACTGCCATAAAATATGTTGTAAGATTATATATGAACTTGCAAAAAAACATTACTGAATTCAGATTTGTGATTATGTAAGAAAATTGGCAGTCAGCAGGTTCAGAAATCTCTATCCTACTAATTGTTGGACCCTGAGGAGATACACATAGATATTCCCTGAGATCCTCCTGCGGCTCCACAGTATCTTCAGCATTCTCTGAAGCCTTTCTGCTTAGGCCCTGGATATGCTCAGAACCCAAAGGTTCAGTGTAGAGCTTTTTCCTAAGGAGGGATTGAACCAGTACAGCAGAAGAAAAGCTGTAGAAAGAGATAATCCCTTTTCTCGCATGGCCTAAAATGCATTGCCAGTTTTTAAGAGAAGCTGGTTTAGACTGAAACAGAGCTAGCTGAAAGCTGTAGCTCTTAGAAAAATCCTGACAAGTAAATTGAAGCAAATCAGAGCAGTGATGAAGAACAGATCTTCCTTATGAAAAAAAGCTAGGAGTAAGCTCTTTCATCAGTACTTTCAACAATCAAGAATGTTGGGGCATATGTCGAAAGAGTAGGATAATTTCTCCATTTTTTGTCTTCTTGCATGTCTAAGTAACAGATGCTTGTTTGGAATTAACATCTCTATTAAATGCTAATATTGTGACTCCATGTGCGTTCCGTGAAATTGTTTAGCATACTGTCAATCTTTAACTCTACAAAGGTAATGTAAAAAAATAGCCAGGATGTTAAATGAACATTTGGAGCTACCAAGCCTGAGTAAGATGACAAACTGATCTATGAGCTGGCAGTGTGTCCTTTGGGCCAAGAAGGCCAGTGATATCCCAGGTGCAAATAGGAAGATCAATGCCAGTCTGCCTGTGCCTTTGCTTCTTTCCCTTTAGTTGACCAGCGGTTCCCTACTCAGTCATGCCTGTCTAGAGAGAATCAGGTAAACATAAATCTGTGTGTTAACCCATGCAGGTCAAGACAGATGTCGTGATAACCTGCAAAAGGACAGATGTCTGTGGTTTCAGTCATTGCTCAGTATGGAAGTATTGTACTTGACTGGGTCTGTTTGATTAGGCCCATATCTCTGGAATATTGGCACTGCCTCTCACAGCTCTCCCTCTGCACCAGATAAGCAGGCAGCTTCTCCATCTACCACATGCTGGTGGTTTTGGTATGGTTAAGAGTAAGATGTCAGTCACAACTGTGTCAAGGCATAATTCACAGAGCAGCAGTCACCTGCTGAATCAGAGGCCAAACCTTGGGGACTGGTGCTTTCCTCTGTGACTGTTTCAGTAGAAAATCTCACCCCATGGGAGCATTACTTGCCACTCAGATTTGATGTAGTCTAGACATCAGACGTGCATTTACATGAAGAGGAAAAAAATGACTCATTATATAGTAACGATTCTTCTGGAATGTGCATGCTGTGCAGAGCCCCCATCTCTTCTTGCTTTTTGGAATACATCAGTACAGCAAACTTCTTATTGTGAGGAAATTGATATAGCAACAGGAAGACCTTCTTGCACATAGTATTAAGAGGTTAAGGAAGAGCAGACCACACCTGCCTTCACAAACTCTGCAAAGGACTGTTGGGTCAAACTTACTGATTTTCTAGTGAAATAACTAAATTGTTCTGCAGATTTTCAACTTTTGATTGTGGCATTAAATGCAACTGCTATATTTATCTGCATTTTGCTGCATTGAAAAAAAAATTTGATTTTGAGAGTTTGGCATAAAAGTTTCTGGATGCAAAGTTTTGGCAGAAATATACATGAGATTTGTTTGGGGTTTGAGAGTGCAGGTGATACTGATGAAGACTACTGTAGCTAGTTACAGACAGATACCCTTGGAAAAGTAAGCCTATATTGAATTCCTGAATGTTTGTTAGTATTTTGGTAAAATGATGCTATATTTTCTGTATCTAGATTGTATTTGAAGCTTTTTTAAAAAAAGTCCAATGAAAGCATGTGATAGCAGTCTTGTAGCTGTTTAAATCTTGAAGTCATCTTCTATAGTTACATATTCACAAGAGATAACCAGTCCATGTATTTTCTGAGAGAAAGTTATTGGTTTCAGTGTTTCAGTTTAGTTTACTGGATTTACTCTGGGGTAGGTTTTTGTTTGGTTGGTTGGTTGGTTGGTTGGTTTTTTTGTTGTTGGTTTGGTGTACGGTTTTTGGGGGAGAGGGTTGTGGGGATTTCCTGTTTGTGTTTGTTTTGGTTTTGGTTTTTTTTATTTGCTGTTTTGGGTGAGTTGGGTCTTTGGTTTTCTGGGGTTTTTTGTTTGGTTTTTTTTTTTTTTTTTTGTTTCTTTTTTTTTTTTTTTTTTTTTTTTTTTTTTTTTGTTTGTTTGTTTTTTGGGTTTTTTTTCAGGGGAGGGAATTTTGTTCTTGTTGCATTTTTACTTTATTTGCTTATTTATTTATTTTGCTTCAAACTGTTTTAGCACAAAATAGTTTGATCACAATACTTCTACTTATTTCCAAGCAAGACATTCTAGTGATTAAGACAATGAGACTCTTTATTTTGTGCATATTGTCAGGTAATACACCATGTTTTAGTAGATTGTTTCCAGGTTAAACAATGAGCATTCCAAGGTACCTCAGCAGTGCCGAACTACTCATAATTATAATCAGTCATGGTTACAAGAAGTTCTTTGTTCTGCAAACGTTTCAAATTCTGTACTTCAGAAAATTTATTGTGTCAAATGAAACATAATATTGCCTTCTCTATTTGGCAACAGATGCTTTTGCAGGTGCTTGCAAATGAGCTTTTGATTATACCTAGCCAAGACAAATGTAATTTTGGTGGTATTCCTATTCTAGTTTTAATTTAGCTTGCATTAAATTAGTTGCTTGAGATAGTTTCAAGCAGAAAAACTTAAAATACAAACTAAACTGTGTTAGTGTTTCAGTTTACTTGATAAATAACTAGTCCATTCATTTCCTTGAAAATTGTTTGGTCAAGTTTCCTTAAGATTATACAGTGGTTGTGTTTGATTTCCTTTAATAGAACACTGGGCCATTTTGATTGGTGATGAGGCAAGCAATTATTCTTGGTGACATGATCTAGACACATCTTTACTAGAACACCAACTTATCCACAGAAACAAATTACAATGCTCAAAGCTGACAACTGTCATAAAAGTTATTCTTTGCTACTTCTATTGCTTTTATTTAACAGACTGATTAATTTTTTTACTATTTACACTGACTATAAAACTCTTACAGTTATCAGTTTAAATTAAATTTTGTAAAAGAACAAGCTTACAATGCTACTCTGTATGTTTAACCAGTTGCAGTGATGTGTAAGTTTTTATTTGAATGGGCAGCATGCTTCTATTTCAGTATAATTCTTTCTGAATTTGTGTCTATTGCACTCTTAAAAGGTTTTGTTTTGTCCAACTCATTGCAATGAAAGTATTGTTAGATTTGGGAACATGTTACTTCTAGTTCTACAAAAGTGAACTGCAACACTAGAAAACAAGATGAATGTTTTGTTGCATTTAAAAGAAGAATCCAAAGACTGGGGTTGATGTGAATTAAGCTGCTTAACAGAAAGGGAGCAAATGTGTGTTTCATAATGGAGAGGTGAAACTCTTCAGCTGAGCTGAATTTATAGTTAGTTAGTCTATTCAAATAGTTCTCCTACCTGTTTTGCAAATTAAAAATTCACCTAGACTTTATCAGGTAGTTGCCAGATGGCTCCAAATGCAGGAGAAGCCCTGATTGCAAACAGGAGTTTAGTTTTAATGCTCTTTGCTTATGAAGGCTAAGGCTGCACAGTCAATACATTCTTTGACTGAGTGCAAGCTTGACAAAAATTCTGTAACTGGATCAAAGTTCCTTGTATATGACAGGGTTCTGGAAACATTGCATGTAATCTATTATTTGGGAAGACAAAATATTGAAGAACTGGCAAAAGTATAAAAATAATACCATAATTGCATATGTGAAGGTCCCAGCAGAATTCTGCTAAGAACAACACAAATTTGAATGTAAATTTCCCTTTACAGCTAGAACTGATGTGGGCAGTAACAACAAAGCTGATTTAAAAAACATTTTCAAGTCTCTGGACTGCTAATTTAAGAGATGATTAACTAAGAAAGCAAGCTCTCATGTATGGGTTAGAGTTCAAGAACACTGAAGCTGAGAACAACAACTGTGTCTTGACTGTTAGTCAAACAGTGTCTGCTCTACATCAAGAGGAG